TCTAATACAGATTCAATGCCTCCTAGTGGAAACAAGAAAAATTGCAAACATTGAATGCTTGGTTCACTTGTGTATCATATTTTTCTTCATGTTTTATGTTCCACTCTGTCAGTGGCCCCTTTTTTCTAGTCTTTAGTAGAGGATATTTTTTTTCTTGCATTATTCCTTGGATTTTTGTACAACAGTGGAAGATGAACCAAAATAATGGTTAACATAAAATTGTGGTGTATAACCTGGTGGTTGAAGAACAAAAGAATGTATCAGACAGCAAAAGCAATCTCAGAACACAGACATAATCTTTACTTTTGTACTTATACATACAAATTACAGATATACATAGAGTAAGACAGATATTCGTACAGTTATGCATTTTTTAAATGTTGTATTAATTTAAATTATGTATTATAAGATGACTGTGATGGTATCAATATAGCCTAAACCCATTGCTCTCAAAGTGGGGTCCAGAAAAACAAACAAACAAACAAACAAAAAACCAGCAAGAGTCCATGGCATAAAACCATAGCATCCATTATGCATTTATTTATACTTTTTGACAACATGATGGTGGGAGGGATCATAATTAACTACTATCAGTTACTATTGTCATATTTATTATTACTTATATAATTATTATCTTTATAAGCCTATTGGCTGTCACTTCAATTGAGTCATCAGAAAATTAGAAAATATCTACCCTGTTAGATCTTGTGAGATAGCCAGACATAGCAATAACTTGAGGGTCATGGTAGACCCCCCTTTTTCCATTGTTAAATCCAATGCAAACTTGGAAAACATTTGAAATTTAAAAAGAACTGCTTAATTATAATGTGTAAATGTGTAAAACCTAAACTGCATCTTGTTGAACATGCAAAAAGCATTAATTGTTTTGAATTTATATTGCACAATATTTTACACAAGAAATTTTACATTAGAAACATCAGCTTTACTGTGGACACAAAATGCATCATACTGTACGTGGAACTGTGTGTGGCACAAACTACGGGTCAGTGGTGAGAGTTGGCTGCTCTTTAGCTGAACAACAAACTGACTTCTACACGCATTACAAGCAGCGTAGCCATAGAGAGCAGTGCTGTTAATGAGGAAATTGTGCTACCCTTCTCAGAGCACGACTGAGGGTTATGAAGCTGGTAAACAGCAGGAAGGCTGCCGGCCCTGACAGCGTCTCCGGCCGCATCCTTAAAGCCTGTGCTGATCAGCTAGCAATGGTGTTTACGTCCAACTATCCAGTCACGCCCAGCCTGTAGACCCTACATGCTTCAAGGGGTCCACCATTTTCCCTGTGAGTAAGAACAACAAATCGTCATGGCTGAACAACTACTGTCTTGTAGCCCTGACATCTGTAGTGATCAATTGCTTCAAAAGGCTAGTAAATGACTACATCTACTCCTCCTTTCCAAGTTTTTCCATCCTCTCCAGTTTACCTACAGACCCAACAGAAGTACAAACACTGCTAGACAAGGGGAGGGAGAACTATGCACAAATGCTGTTCATGATCAATACCAATGTTCAGTATCAATGTTTAAATACCAGTGTTCCTCACCAGCCAATGACAAGTGGTTAAGGTGGGTAGCTATACCTTCAGCTCACTCACCCTCATCATCAGCCCCCCCGAGCCCCTGACTGTTCTTCATCTACACCCATGACTGTGTGGCCACCCACAGCTCCAACTCCATAATAAAATTTGCTGATGACACAGTGGTGGTCAGTCTGATCATGAACAGTGCCGAGCAGGCCTACGAGCAGGTGGATGATCAAGCTCGGTGGTGCCTGGCCAATAACCTTGCACTGAACGTCTGTAAAACCAAGGAAATTAAATCCAAGTTAGTAAAACCAAGGTTGTGCACTTCAGGAGACAGCAGGTAGGCAACTCCACCCCTCTTAAGATCTGGATGACCAGCTTCAAACATCACAGAAGACCTCTCCTGTCCACTTTACATCCCCAACCCAATCAGCAAAGACAGCTTTACCACCTCAGGCAAGTCCGGAACTTCAGGGTCTCTGCTCACATTCAAAGGACTGACAGGTAACGTCACTACCTGGTATGGAAACTGCTCCATCCAAGACTACCAAGCCCTTCAATGGGTGGTATGTTTAGCAAAAAACAGCATTACAACAGTATTTCCCTCCCTGCTGGACATTTACAGTACTGTGCAAAAGTCTTAGGTGCCCTTTTTTTTTGGTACAAACTTTGTTATAGATTTTTATTTTGTGACTTCTACATGATCTAGTCAGTACAAAAACATTTTAGATTCCAAACATTAGTTTTCCAGCACAAAATTAAATGTTACAGAAAAATGTTTGTATGTCAGTAAAGAAAGCAGCATATTACATAAGAGACACTTTTCAGACAAAAAAACATAATGAAGGCTGCTGGGTTTTGCTGCAAAAATAAGAAGCAAGTGTAACAGTCAAAGTCTCCAGAAGAACTGTGGCTGCTTCTGCAAGATGCTCAGTAACACTTACAGCTCATTTCCTTATAAAACTGCACAAATTGTACCTGAGACTATTTTTTTTTTTTTTTTAAAGCAAAGGATCATCACACCAAATACTGACTTTGTTTCATTTATTACTGTTTACTGCTCTTTATAGTATTTTTTTTAAATGTAGAAACATTTAATTTCATTATATTTGAAGGCATCTTTGCTCTACAGCATTTCTTTGCATGTGCCTAAGACTTTTACACAGTGCTGTACATCAGGTGGGTCATGGGTTTTGGGCCCAGAAAATGATCAAGGACACTTCCCCCTCAAGCACGGTCTATTCAGACTGCTGAGGTCAGGCAAACACCTCAGGCAAACACTATACACTCATTGTTCATTTTAATAGGAACACCTGTACAAATGCTCATTTATGCAGTTATCCAACCCTAACCCTAACCCAATAAACTGTGCACAATTGTTAGGTTCTACCAAGAGTCATGGTAGGACCGTATGGCGTGGAACTACAGCCCCTGCATGAGCTTGTCACACCTTCACTGGTCACTCACACCTGTCTCCTGCTTCACCTAAGCAGTGTCATTATTTAAGTTCCAGATTCTGTGTGTCACATGGTCAAGCTCACGTTGCTATTATCACTTGTTGTTGCATGTGTGCTGTTATTACTTATAGTCTATATGTTTCTTGCCTCGTATGCATAGTTCATGTCGATGGTTCTTGTTTTCACGATTTTGGTTCTTTTGTTTGTACTTTACACAATAAATTTCCTACACTTGACCAATACCTGACACCAGGTTACATGGGTTACATGGCTATGTATGACCATGAGCAAGGCTTGTCAGTATTACATAATCTTATTAGATAAAGAGGATCACACAGTATTGCACAATTCTGATAGAGACAAAAAGTCATGAACACTGTTTAAGTTATTCAGTGTCAGTGCTTTCAGGATAAACACATTTCCAGAGGCAGGTTATGGTTATTTAGGAAAAGGCCAAATAAGAATGGTGCATAATAAGGTGAATAACAAGGATTTTGAGGGAAAAATGTGCATTAGATAGTGTTATTTGCAGAATAGTTGTAACAACATAGCTTGTGTAAAAGATAAAAGATCAAGTTCAATGACTCAATGAGAGACAGCGCTTCTGTGTGCTAAACGTTAAGCAAACATACAACGGCATGAAAGATCCTGCAGGGACAGGGTCAGTACTAGATGAATATGTGAAGGTTTTCCACAAAAAACTTTGACCTTTGATCTATTTCCACAAATAGTTTTAAATGATGCAATGTCTGAATGTTATATACCTGCTTGTAGAGTCTATGATGCTGCTAATGTGGCAGAGCAGTTTTGCATTTTACTTGAGGCTTCACTTTTTGTCTGTGATGAATATTGCCAGAGATGATGAATACTTTGCATGTGCACATGCATGCCAAGACCTTCAAGGCCTTTGACAAAGTCACAAAGTTACAACATGACATAGTATTTGGCTATTTCCCTTGTACATGTCAGACTTCATGTACACCTTGGAGCTAGCTGCATAATAGCTTGTGATTATGGTGTGCACTACCAGTAACCTGTCTTTCAAAGCTAGCAACAGACTCCTATAAACTCAGATCATCTTTCTTCTCTCCTCAGCTGTGGAGAGCGTATAGTTTTGGGGCCATTCAGAACTCCCAGTCCCACTCTGCTAGCCTTGTTTTCCCTTACACCTGTACTGTAAGCTAAAAACTGTTCTGTTGCTCAGTATGGTGCTCTCAGCCCCTCACTGGGTACATTATTCTGAATTTTTCACATTGCCTGCTGTCTGATGACCTGTGGGCCAGTGAATACACACTGCTTCATGGATGTCTGTGGGTTTGGCTTCTCAGGCTGAAGTCCAGTTTGAGGGCTGTGACCCAGCAGTTCAGGAGACAGTCCTGAATGCAAGAGCCCATAGCACACTGGCATTGTATGCTTTCAGGTGGAAACTGTTCTGCGAATGGTATGTATCCCATCTGGATCCAGTCCACTGTCTGAGTATTAATGTTCCCGCAAGGACTGCTTGATTGTGATATGTACCTATCATCACTAAATGTGTTTTACATCAAATACTACATCATTCCCTCTTTTTGTGACTTTGCTGAAAGTCTCAGCATGCGTTCGCACATGCACAAGAATATATGCAAGTAATATTCACATCCAGTTATTCAGTGGTGGTTATCCAGGATTCACAGAGTGACATACAGTATGCAACTTACATTAGTGGTCTTTAAACATTGACAGCAAAAAGAAGAATCTTTATAATAACCTATGTATAATATTTAGATGAATGTGATGATAGACAACTGGGCTGTATAGCAGGAACAGCTTTAATCAGTGGCACTGCTGCTTCTGAACATCCTCCCTGCTCTGGCTCTTGCACTTGTTGTTTGTCCTTTATATTGATATTTATATTTGCTCATTTGGCTGATGATTTTAATTAAAGTGACTTACAATTGAGACAGGATACAATTGCACAGGGTTGAGGGTTAAGGGTCTTGCTCAAGGACTCAAAAGGAGCAGCATGGCAACACTGGGATTTGAACTCACAACCATCAGGAGCCGATCAATAGCCCAAAGCCTTAACCACTAAGCTATAACCACTTCATTCAAATGGGTGCCTTTGGGTTATGGCTTAGGGTTAGCTCCCAGTAGGTTTGTTAGCATTAGCAGCTGAAAAACATCTACACAAAATCTCTTGAGAAACAGAATAGATTACATTCATCAGCTGGGCAAAGAAAGTATCTCTGAAGTTTTAAAACATGATCAAGGACATATTCAATATTTAATATCCAAGTGACTTTGAAGATGTCAACATGAATGAATGACTTCTAAGTGTTTACAAGAATTTTTTTAACCTTGTATAAATAGCAACATTAACATTAACCATTAGTTAATGTTAACTAATAGCAACATTAACCATTACCATTATGCCATATACTGATTTATTCTCAAGAAGGTTTATGTGGAATGTAATTTTAAATAAAGCAAACTACAATGACTGCCTAAAGTTCCTACATGTTTTTCAGCTTATGTTCTTGGTACTTCGTCAGCACTGGCAGCTAGGCAAATTTACATTTATGGCATTTGGCAGACGCCCTTATCCAGAGCAACTTAGAATTATTTCATTTATACAACTGAGCAGTTGAGGGTTAAGGGCCTTGCTCAAGGGCCTAGCAGTTTTAATAGGAACTCTCAACCTTCTGAGCAGAAGTCCAACATCTTAAGCACTGAGCTACCACTCAGGGGTAAGTGGTAAGGCTTAACCCCTGAGCTACCACTTAGCACTAGGGGAAGGTCAGTAAACTCTACTGTGCACACATTTGCTTAGTCAGAGCATCTATTGGTGACATTGTATTGATTTTCAGGCCAGACACAACACAGTGCAATTTTAAAACACCTGCACAGGAGAATAGCAAAGATTTATTATGGTATCACACACTTCTTACAATGTGTGGTGAAAATCAGCATTTCTACTAAAATACATAATACACAAATTTTTACATTGCTCTCTCTTTAATTACATTATGCTACAGTGTCTTAAAATACATATTTACAAAATAATCACCTGCTAGCATAGATTTCATTTAAAATGACAACCAGGCACTATAGGGGTGAATGTTATTGTGTACATGAACTAATAAATAATATATACAAATCTAACTACCAGATTGGCAAAATTATGACATAATTAATAAATAAACTCTGACTTACTATGAACTATGAATTCTATGAATTACAAATTAGTTATTCTGATGAAATATTCACAACCGGCACAAATCAGCAAACAAAAATACAGACCGCAATCATTTTCATTCGTGCGAATTAGTGTGTCTGAACATTGCCGTCATGCCAGCGCAGTGTGTTTGTTTAGTCCTCCTCACTGCTGCAGGAGCCACTGGAGCTGTATGAGCTGTCATTGCACTCAGCTATGTAAGGAAACTTGTACATGTCGGGGTTCAGTTTGGGCACCCAGTCCCGTGGGACCAGGTACGTAGCCAGGTTGAACAAATCCACAAACACTTTGTAACGGTCACTATCGAAGAAGAAAAGCATGCAATCACAAAGACGCTAGGATTGAATCTGCTGAAAAAATCATCACCAAAAAAAAAAACTAAACAGCTGACAGTTTCATTTCCTAATTGCACTTGGCCTAATATATTCCATTACAACAGAATCTAATCGTTTTAAAAGTTGCCATTACGAGTTAATTTATTAGGTTCTAAAGGATCTAGAGGTTCTAGAAAAAAGTTTTTAAGCCTAGTGGATGTAATATCCCATGTTTTTAAATGTTAAGATTTGCCTTTCCACTCAGTAATCTTTCATTAGTGCTTCACCACAGTTTATCAGTAAAGACCCTGTAAGGACCCTTTACACTGTAATTCAACCCATATGGGGAAAAACATCCATTACCAAACTAGCAGGGGGGAAAAAAAGTAATGGTTTTAATATGTTTTTATTTTTGGCAGTAATTCATTCATAATATAAGATATGCTACACTATTTGGATTTGTATTACGAAGTGGATTATATGATATATTATATTATCAGTGGATCATATTCACCTGACAGTAGAGCGCAGGTAATGGTAACCTGAAGAGCCGCCTGTTCCTGCTTTATTGCCGATCATTCTGTGCGCCATGCAAACATGATTATCTGATGGCAAAGGTTAGGTGATTGTTAACTTTCTGACAGATAACATGAATGATAAATGAAGAGATGTTCCAAACTACATACTACACATTAGGAACTTACATCTCCATTTGGTCATAAGTGTATCAACCTCCATCAGGTATGTCAGAAGCTGGAAAGGCACCTGAAACCGAGGCTCCTCTCTGCAAGGGGAAGCAAGAGAACTACCTCTAACATCTGTGGAACATCATCTGTCTACTAATCTCCATGCAGAGCCACAGTATCTATGAAATCACCAGCAGTGATTACAGGAATATTTCTGGCATGTGAATCTCTGACCTGTAAAAGTAAATCATTAGGGCTCCCTGAAGAGCTCTGTAGGACAGCCGGCGCTCTCCTGGAAAGAAAGAACGAACATGTTTACGTATGATGTAGACACGCTGATGTTCCAGGTGTATGTCAGGTTCTCAAAAACTCAAGGTTAGTGTCAGTTGTCCTGGATGGGATATGTACTTAGAATATTCTTTTTTATTCTAAAGAAGACGGGAACAGCCAATAATGTGTCAGTGTTCACCTTTGCTTAAAAGATGTTCGTGGTGATTGGAGTCAAACAGATAAGTGAACATTTCCATCTGCTTAGTGAGATCCTCCAGCATGTCTTGCTTTTTCTCACAATTTGGCATTTTCTGTGAACAGCAAAATAGTGCACGGATTTGGGTAAGTTGTGTAAAATGTGACATTAAGATAAATAAAAACCGTAATTACCTCAAGCTTCTGCTTCTCCTTCCTGTAACCTTCCTCAATGTTTGCTTGCAGCTTTCCCCAAAAGTTGAAGCCATCCCTTTCAAGGCCAGGTGTTCTCTCCAGCCATTTCTAAAAAAAAATACAATTATACAGTTATGGACTGACTAATTAAACATAGCTGTTTTACAGATATACATTAAGCATAATTATGGTCTAAAAATCAACTGTAATTCCTATGATCCTATAATCAACTATAATTTCCATGTTGTTGGTTAGGCATGTATACAGAAGCTAAGTGTTACATTATACCTCTACAAGCTGCAGGAGTGTAGGCTCTTGCTCCGCTTTGAACAATGCCTCACTATCCTGCCCATGGAACTTGTCCCTGTAGTGACGACGGTTGTAGGGAACTCTCAATTTCTCAGAAACTCCAAACTTATTCTCAAGAAGACGAAACTGAAGACTTTGGAACCCTGAAGCTGAGGACAAGTAATTCCTGTAGCACAGATGCACACAAATACACAAAGGTTTTACACTGAGCAAACCAATCAGTGCGTCTAATCTAGTAGTCTGGTTGTCTTTTAGATCATGCTACATTGAAAGAAGTGTGCAATTTAATAAGGTATAAACCCCTGTGCCTTAAATTAAGAACCATCTATATATTACCCTATATTGAAAAATTCACTTTTGTTTCAACTATAATGGCATCAGTGCCATTATTTTCCCAGCAGCCGATTCATTATACACAATAACTTTTTTTTAATAATAACAACAAATTATGGCCATATACAGTGCAGTCAAAAAGTCAGAGACCACGTTGAAAATCTGGGATTTTTTTTCTTTTTTTTTTTTTGGAAATAAACAGAAGGTTTTAGAATTTTGAAATATTTCAAACAAAGTAAGTAAATATTTAATATCTTGAATGTTTAATATTCCAGATTCTGCACTATTTCTAGGTCTCTATTTAAATGTAAGCAGATGAGTGTAATGTCCATGTTATCTGCTTTGTACAAAAGGTCAGATTTTCCTCATATCTAATCTTCTACTGAAGCACGTGTTCAGACGAAACTCCGATGGATTTGATAAAAAAAATTGATCATAAGGTTTTACACAAATTTGTGGAGTCCGTGCCAGCTCAAGTGCACACTGTCATTAAAGCAAAAAGGAGACGTACCAAATACTAAGAAACTCTGAAATTCATGCATATATTCATGTGTACATTTCAAATATTCTACTTTTCACTCAGTTTGTGGTCAACAATATAATTTGTAATGAAACTTATTGTACTAAATTAGAAAAGAATGCAAAATAGAAGCATTTTCACTTCTCAGACTTTTGGACCCCACTGTAAATACTTGAATCTTTCATGAAGCCTCTGTGAGGTGTAGTTGTGCTTGTTCTTGGTTACCTGAAATCGAAGAAATCCAAAGCAGTCATGGTCTCCAGCACAGCAAACTGGTCCACCAGCAGCCTGAAGATCATAGTGATCCTGTGGATGCGGCTCACCACCTTCAGCATGTTCCGCTCATCACGAACCTGACAACAAATCATTCTTCTTTACTCCAGGACTGATGATAATTCACACTTAATGTGGTGTTTAAATTGTGTCATTGGTTGAAATGTTTGACTCACATGATTGTGAATGAACAGTTCCCGAACCGAATCAAGCTCCCACATAATCTGCTTAAACCATAACTCATAAGCTGAAACAAAGAATCAATTTTAAATATGATGTTCCTTATCAATGACAAATAAATGTAAAACTTGAATGAGATATAGGAAATCAGAATTTAAAAAAAATAAGCAAAGTATCAGTTACATTGGTGGGTAACTATGAACAGATGCTCATCATGGATTCTGTTGCCTTTCAGTTCACTCTGCAGTTTCTGAGCATTAATAATCTTATCCAGCTAAAAGAAAAGTGAAACATCTATTTATTTCTCTCACCAATATAGAGAACAACTTTTTTTAATCACAGTGAACAGTGTATATCGTTTTAAAAACTGAATTTAATTTACCTGGAGGTAGTCTCCATAAACAATTTCGCTGTTGGTGCCTTTTTGGGAATCATCTTCCTCCTCAGTGGGGTTGGTTTTAAAACTAATTTTGAGAAAATAACAAAGGTGGTTATGAAAAATACTACATGAAAACACTTGTGATTTTCCTCCATTTTAAATAACGGGTTAGCCAAAAAAAAAAAAAAAAAGAAAAAAAAGAATGTATACGCAC